AGTAGAAAGACTGACAGAAATATTAGACGATCAGGTGGGAAGAAATACGATCTACCGGGGGTATCCTTGAACACTCTACCCCCGATGAGAAAAGGCTTAAGACTGACAATTACTTTTGACTGTGAGTTAGGTCCTTTGCTTTGTGTGTTGTTGCTCTTAAAGGTTTGTTTGAGGTTGGCTCGAGATAAGGAGCAAAGTTGTGTTGAGATCCTGTCTTCTAGTGTAAGACTGCCGCAAGAATGATAAATATTGAGAGAAGCTTGAGTTGAAAGAGTCCCATGATTTAAGGTGCTACCAAGGAGGTTATATCAGAGGTCCTTGGTTGCTACTGGAGCCTTCGTCACTCGTGGATAGAAGCTCACTGGTGTTTGCTTGTGGTGATTGTTTGAAAGGCAGCGCATGGGTGGTTGGCCGGTGCTCTGGTGTGGACTGCTTCTTCTTCGCTATCAAACATCTTTTGGCCCTTATCTCTTCTATTTTTAAGTGTTTGTTACTCTGATGTAACACCTCTGATCTTCAGCTCGTATTATATGACCTTAAATGTGTTGCAAGTGCCACAAAATGCTTACTAAGACAAAAGCAAAATAGGCGACGCACGTTGCTGAAAAGTCTCGTCAATTCACTCTTTGATACATTTGATAATTTGAAGGTGGTCAGATGGAGGAACCAACACTGTCATTTTGGTATTGTTTAATCAAATACTTCATATTTTAAAAAGAAAAGAAAAAAAGAAACGTTAGATTTTCTTGGGGCATCTATTTGATACGTTTGACCCATTTGATGAAAACTACCAGTTAGATGGCCATTTCACGCTACGAAATCAGTTCTTTTGTTTTTTCGTAGAATGCTACAGGCCAGAATCGACTTCTTAGATCAAATTGGATGAAGCAAATAAAAGTCGATTAGGTATAGTTTGCTCTAGTGCTGTCAGTATTCCACCCTCCCCGCCCCGATCATGCAGGTCTATAAAAAAATATCCATCGAGTTTCACAGACAGACAGACAGACAGA